ACTAGTTAGTTGGCAGGGTCGCGGAATGAAATATGCAGCACCGGCTCGCAAACAAAACGCGTGCGTACATGCAGACAGGGAACCGACGACAACATGCAGCCACTTATCAATCATCGAATGAAACAGGAAGAACAAGAGCACAGCTACTTCATTCGCAGGCAGCCGAGGCACTTTGATGCTCATTCAAGCGATGCCAGCTTTTTTAATGGGGCTCATTAAGCTCTAGTTAACTACCCAACCAAAGGGAGGAAACGACGCACGCATATCTTTATATACTGAGTGTTTCCGTTTAATTAATATCAATATTTTGGATGTGAGGGTCAAGATTTTTTTATTTGCAAAATTTGGAAAATTTAATTAAAACGTGTAATCCTCTAATTTGTCTGCTTATACCATTATCCAGCAATTTCATCATCGGCGTCGGTGTTTAGTTTAAGCTGGTTTAATTCGTCATTTTGTGTCTGCTCACGAACACGATTTTCATTGGAGGTTTATCAGAGTTACAAATTATGCTTTTATCGATTCGATTCGATTCAATTGCGACGAAAAATACGAGTAAAACATTCTCGATAAATGACGATATTCGATTTCGGCAATGAATAAATATTTCATTTTATTGTTCGCGGGCTGTCAAGAAATGTTGAAGGTGTTTGTTGTTTGCGCGCTGGTCGCGTGGATTGCGTTCCGTCGAAGGCATTCAACTACAGATATAATTTATCGCGCAAGTCGGTAAGAAAACTTGCTCAATATTCGTTTCGTACGCTCGGGTTTCGGCATAGTTTCCGCGTTCAGTTGTTAGTAGTTCGGTTAGTTCGTGCACCATGCCACAAATTCGACGTCGAATTCGTGCATTCCTTACGCTCGTTATATAAAAGTAGGTATAGTAGTTCCTTCACTGTCTCCTTCACGGAATTATATACTCTTATGAGAATCTAATGCAACTTCTTAATAAACTCAATGTGTAATATTAATTTTTTTAAGATAAAGTTTTGCTGATTATTTTTTTTTAAAAATTCTCAATCCTTGTCTTTTATTAGTTTAGTCCAGGTTATTCCATAGTCCGGAAAGAAATGATTTGAATATTTACTCACGATTGCTCTTCTATTATTTTTTATTTTACAATCAATTTTTGAAACACTCGTAATTTATTCCGCGGTTCACTAAACCGAAATCGTCGGGTTTATGTGAGCGTTGAATAAAGAATATCAAACGGATCGAACGAAGGCTTTCTGAATGGTCGAATCATATGATGTTGATGATGGCCTCTTCGGTGACCCGCGCGGTGAGTGACGAGAGGTTAAACGAGGTCGGGTTATAATCCTTCTTCGCGAATGGTGTACATGCACGCAGTTTTACGACGACGCCTCGATAAAAATGTAACAAAAGCCGAGCATAAATATAAATATCGCACCACACACCAGCATGCATGCAATGGGCAGCCATGAACGAAATGCAATAACGCATAAAGTATATAGGGAATAATGTTGTATGCTACATTCATGCAAAAGACACGAGAAGAACGCGTTAAAAAATGCATAAAATTCACGATTTTTGTTCGTTGCTGAGTCCTGAGAGTGTTGAAACAAGTAGGTGAAGAAAAGCTTTGGGAATTTGTTACAATTTAACAATTTAACAGGCCAGAGAATCGATGGCCTTGCTTCCCGCCGCGATTCCATTACAAGCATATTGTGCATTGTCATGGTATTGTTGCTTTGCTTGTTATGTACCTCGAAACAATGGCGCCAATATGAAACCGACATAAATAAGCGAGACATTTCCTTCTACACCATGTCGCACCGTGGTGAAATATCCAACATTGAAGTTCGGACATTCCAACCACATCAGACCGCATCTTTATTTAAATTTATATTTAAATATTTTATTTTTCACATATTGATATTCCTTCTATATTTGCGTAAAACAAATAATTCAGGATAATTTGAAAAATTTAGATTTCCACATCATTACAGTTGATAAACGAATCACGGACACTATTATTATTTTTGTGTTGTGCTGGTCGCGGACCTATCTACTCATCATCTAGGCCGAGGACTGAAAATGTCGCTCGTTATTTTCTATTATTATTGTTATTACAAGCTCGGCAGCGTCGGCGTAGCACAAGAAAAGCGTTTTCCGTCAGCGTCGAATTTTCGTAGCCAGCCAAGTGTGCAGTTCCTGATATCACAAGTGCGCATTGTCGTGGTTTTGGTTCGAATGTGCATTGAGCGTATAGGAAAGGGTCCGCAGGGCTCGGCGATGCAATGCACAAAAATAATAATTCTACGTATTTTATGAGCTGGTGTGCGTTGCGTTTGAAACTAATTACTTAGGTGAGCATGAGAGGTGCTGAAACACTTTTTATTCATCATAATACTCGCACTGTACTCGTCATAGCTTTTCTGTGGAGTAAATATATTACTAAGCTGGCTTGCGCTCATTAAAATATATTAATTATTATTTTCTTCTAGTTGAGTCTTCTGGCCTAGTGGCGCTTCTTGTTATGAGAATTTTATTACTAATAGGATTTTTCACTTGACAACATCAGCATTCACGGAAGAAACTTGTTCAACAATCTGATTATCAGATAAATACGGTGTTATTTTTTATATTCTGACTGCTGTCTCCGGGATGTTTTAAATTTTAATTTTTACGAAGCACCCGGTAATTGTTTATTGTCTAGCTGCTTTAGACGTTGCTTTTGAGTTGACTTTTATTACAAAGCGTTTCTCTGTGGAAGGTAGCAACGCGCGGACGTAAGTGAAACAAACGAAGCCTTTTTACATAAAGTACACGGTGTGTAATTACATGTCGCTCAAGAGGTGTGCCACTATCGCTTTGGTGGATCTTTTAGATTAAAAACGACCTGAGTAAGCGCACTCGACAGCCCTGGTAATGCCTTTAAGAGAGGAAATTTATTCTTAATTTCACTTTGGGGCTAATGATAATGATTCCTTTCAAATGGTGCCTTCCAAAGTGCACACTCGCTTACTACGCGCACCTATGTCAGGGTACTTTTTGTGTATGTGTTTGTGTTAAACTAACTAGTAAATGAGAAATAAACAAAAGTACGTCCTGGATTAAATTATACGAATTAAAGACAAACACGGATGATGTAGGTCCGAGTGTTTAGAAAGTTATGCATTGTTCAAGGAAAGAGTCGCAACTGAAGAAGGAAAATTCCATATTTCTCAATTTCAATTTCGTCCTTCGTCGACTGGGACACTATTCCCGAAACGCATATAAAATGCACGAGATAACGCCGACGCAACGCAACGAAGTTAACACGAACGAATGCGGGGGAAAGATCCACAGAAACTCTGTCGTTTTCGACCAACGTGCACGCGGGACGCATCAGACTGTGATATTAATTTTGTATACGACTTTGAAGATTTGTGGTGCTTGTAATAGAGAACAGGTGTGCCATCATAAATTATCTTCAGTATTGTGTGATATAAATATTTTGCGTGTCGGCGTTCAGCGTGAAATGCATTTCCGCATGTTGCAAGCAAAAAGATGAACAATTCGCCGCTCCACGTGAAAGCTTCAAATACATTTGTTAAAATTCAGCATTAATAAACAGTTTGCATTCGGAATTTTGATCAGCGATGATAGTTTTTGGCAAGAGCACAAGTCATCGTCGAATCGGACCGCGTATACACTGTTCCTCCCGGCTGTAATGGATAATTGACAGAAATTTGGCTCGTTGCGCTTATTTATTTCATTGCAGTTTGAAAACTACGTTATGTTCAATTCGCAACTTATTCGACATTCAACTACACACTGTGCGCGCCGCCGCGCTGTTCGATGCAGGCGCCCATTTTCGTTCCAAGTTTAAATTTCGAAAATTTACTTCTGCGTCTCCCAACTTTGCGCTTTGGCGTGTGCTCTACAACAGACGGACAAGCCAATAGTTCGTGTAGTACGCCATGTAAATCTAAAATAGTTCAAGATATACAGTAAATTGCCTCGAACAATCACGTTTTTTTTATTTGTGTTGTTGTTAGTATTCAGTACAACATTCAATCGAACACAAACGGATTGGATTCTGTTATTACTTTGCTTGAGCAGCGGTACAAATTAAAAATCTTCGGTTAGAAGATAAAAACTGTCACGATTTATTAGATGATATAAAGTAGTTAAGTTAATGTTTACTTCCAGTTTGCAGTCGGTTGCGAATTTTATTAAGTTTAGTTTATAATACGCAGTAACGCACGCAGTGCTGCAAGTCTGAAGGAGACTTTATTCGGGATCGTGATATGCCTTATTGGGAACGCACTCCTTTATTCATTGCTCGTCCTCTGCGCGCGGAAAACACAAAACAAGCTCTCTCTCACAGTAAGTAGGCAATTGGAGGCCGTAAAGCAAACTCCTTCGCGACGCGCCAGCGTGTGTGCGATTCTGCGCTCATGATGTGAAGTTTTAATTTCAATTAAATCCACATTAAGTCGTCGCGTCGAGGCGATTATTTATTGCCGGCTCGAAATAGCTCCGACGCCGTGGCAAACTTCGAATGGCCGCCACACAATATGCAATCCACTCGTTTCCCTTCTGGGCGCGCGCGCGTTGTTTTGATTTGTTTTGCTGTTTTACGCCCATGTTCTTTGCTTATTATTGCACCGACATGCAGTTTATTACAGAAGCGGCGGGCGTGTGCACACACTCTACTATATGACAACTAACCCGGCAGCGTTCAACTTTGCCGCCGCATTCGGCTTCGCCAATTTACGAGTCGCAATGTAAAACTAAACATTTCATACCGAGAAGAAGTCGCGCGTCACTTCGGTCATCATAAAATAATCATAACAGTTCCAGGGATAGGTTGATGCCAGATTGAACATGATACAATTTATGCGCAATCCAGGTATAATGTTTACGTGTTTATTCTGTTTGTGCGAATTGTATTATTCATAGTGAAATGTATGCGATATTATCGACTACTGCTTCGGCAAAACAATAATGCGCTATTTAAAACATTAAACAATTCTCTTCGTTGATTTTAGATTTTTATTGGATTCCACTTCAAATCGATGATTCATTCGTCGCCGAATTGCAAGCAAAACATTTCGTAAGTGAAACATTCTGTCAAGTTTATTGATTCAATTGAAAATGTTTATATCGCAAACATACAGTGTATATTAATGGCCTCGGGCAAATATGTCAGTTACTTCTTCACACAAGTTGATTCTATTCTATCCCCCTGGCTTATGCAGCGTAAGTGGCCAGCTTTAAAAAGGATGTAATAATGTCTTACAGATAATCATCACAATTTCTCTTACGAATTCATGATCATGTTCAATGTCTCGTGTTTATTGTTTATTGCGCTCACTAATGGTCGCCGTGTAATCCATTGTTCTACACGCCTGTCGAGAATATGTATTTGTTCAGCGCCCGAGCGCCACTTTGGAGCGGCGCGCGTGAGATTTATCTGTCCGCAAGCAGCGTTTGTATCGTTCGATTAAAACGGTGCAGCACGCCCGAAAGCCGCCCGGCAACACCGGACCTAATGATAATAAATTTTAATTAGACGTGATTTTTCCGGTGGAAGCCGATGCACACATGTGTGCCTCCATCCGGGGGAGTGAAATTTAGGTATTGTTTTCATTTCGCGTACCTCGTTCGATTTATTGACATTTCGTTCATAGAATAAAAACCACATCTAAGAATAATAATTTTGCACTATCAAGGTTTGAGTTTTGTGCATTAATGCGTAAAATTGAAACTTTTTAATCTCAAAAATACATAAAAGAATGCAAATTTACGCACTGAATATTCAGAAATATGCTTTCTGTGAATTTAAACTTTAATTTGCTGATTGGTTGAAAATACTGCAGTATAAATCTATATAATTGTTGACACAGTTTGTTGACACAAGTTGCAGTGGTTTGCTGCATTCAGTTGAGATTCGAGTAGGTACGGAAAATATTGCAAGTCCGGGCGGTTTGAGTAAATATGGGGAATCGGCGGATATTGTACGCGTGCGTTACACCGAGACAGAGATCCGCGCGCCGAATGAACCAGCACGGACTTGTAAACCCGCCGCGGCGCCGGTGGTGTAGCAGCAGCAGCAGAGTGCGCCGCGCCGCTTTTTGATGGACAGTTTCACGTGCGACTTCCTCGTGTGCGCACCACGCTTCGTTCCATCCCCAACGTTAGCGCTCACCCGCACGCACGCGGAAAAGTTTTACATTACTCGTACGTATGTTCCAAGATTGTTTCAACACTGCCACATCGTATTCAAGTGCGCACGATGGATGATATTAAATTAACGCGTTAAATACATTCGTTAATTTTTTTTGAGTTAGTTAATTAACAAAACTATACTCTATGTGATAATTGTAAGTGACGATTGAAATTAATTACGGAACTTTCGATAACATCACCAATGGTCGAGTTAAAAAGTAAGTAAATATTTGCTCAAGTGTTAATTGTTTTATTAAGAGTTAGCTGGCTGATTTGACGCGCGCGGCGAACAAATTAATTTACTTGCGTAAACACTGTAACAAGCGAGCGCGCACAAATAAATTATATTGAAATTTCATGCATTGCTGGTAACGCGCGGTGGTAACTTATGTCTGTTGCCCAAACTTTGACAGCAGTCAATTAATTAAGCCGCGAGTAGTTTAGGTATTGTGACATAGTCAAACGGTTGGATTTGAAACGAAATTTGTCAAATTGAATGACAATATAATCGCTTCAATACCCCTCTCGATTTTTTTAGTGTTTGAGGGATCATAGAGTGTTTTTATTTTATTTTCTATTTTAAATTGCGTGTCACTCACCGCACACATGTTGTTAATGCCGACGAGAATTAACAAATTGTAAGGATTCGTACGCGCACTTTCCTCCCCTAATTTTTGAGTCCGGTATGCGGTCTATGCGTCGACAGAGTCGAGTGACGTATGTGCGTATTGGTATTAATTTGTAGAGAGTAAAAAAATAAAGCTGCTTTGCCCCCGGTTGCGTCCCTCGAAAAGTTAATAACGCCGGCTTTGCATTTGTTTGAAAAGCGTCAAACGTAAATCCACGTTTCAACAAAAGCCTCGCTAACTAAGAGCAAAGCATTTTAAAATGTTTCACAAACAAAAAATTTCAATGGTAGTTGCCATCACAACTACCGAAAATAGTCGTTAAAAAAATTCAATAAACGAATAATAGTATGCCATTAAGTCAATATACTATTTTTGTGACTTTTACACTAGCGTTTTCGGGTAGTAAAATCGGTTACCATCGGTTTGTCGCCACTTTAAGACACGCCATTACCGAATGTAGTAAAACAAGTGAAATGTTTCGTTTTCCTGCGTTGCGCGCTTTGGAATTTCGACCAAAATGTATTCGAAAATGTAAAAACCTATTTGCTGGCAGTAACGAGTCGGGGAATGCTGTTTTCATGCGCCTGAAAATAGCATTTTCATTCATCGCCGCAATAAGTCAACTAATGCGCCACTAAATAACGATATGCACGCCGAATTCCGATCTAGTTATAATGAAATCATGCAATGTGAAAGCGCGCGAGCTCGACAGTAAATTTGTCACTCGGCACCGCGAGCGTGTGGCACGAACAAATATTTTTTCCCCAAAAGTTCGCGCCTGCTGTGGCTTCCCCAACACATACACAACACACGCGACGAGCTTTTTTACTTTTCCGCTGGATATTAATGCAGCGTTACCAATATAGTTGAAGCGGTGAGGTGGCGGGCACGGCGGCGTTACGCATAACTGGGAACAAATAGTTTCGTCGGTGGGGCGGGGACGGCGCGCCGCGTCGCGCGGTTCTGGCTGGTTTCCCCTCGATGACTTCAGCGGGTCCTGTCGGCGGCGTTTTCGCCGGCAGTCGTCCTCGCGCGCCGCGCGTTGGTTTGATTTACAACATTTATAGCAGCACAGTGTTTTCTCCGTCGACATTGCCGAAACCCAGTGTCGCGCATAACTTCAGCTTGCCGTTCGTATATTAACTTAGTACTTTGCGCCAAGTTACCTCTACAATGGGCGCGCTTTTATTTTCGCATTTTGCAGAGCCGCGCGCCGGCTGACTTGCCTTTCCTCACTACCCACAGCTACACAAATATTTACACAGAACTTCAACCATCGCCACCTACAAATATTAACTATGCGACTGACGCGGAAAGCAATGAGGGGGTGAAGACGGGTTGATGGTGTGGTGTGGCCATTGTTGGAAAGCTCGTTGTGGCGAAGTGGCCTGCTATTGGCAAACACTGAATATGCCAATAAGATTTACACTTCAAACTTTGAAACATTTCGTTAACAAAATTAATCTCGAAATATAAATTCCACTGTTGCATGGGAAAATTTTATTATTTTTCACTTGACATAAATAATTTCGCATTAAAGCTTCGTTTCTAATTTACAGGCGACGTCGCCGGCCGACCAAAGCTAAATTATACTCATAACATCCAGCTTGTTAGCTGCTAGTTGAAAGTGAATATATAAGTGCAAGGCTCTGTAAAGTCACAATTATTTATGCCTTGCATGTGCATATTCCGAAAGGCAACTGCGTATATTTCATGATAGGAATGTTTCGAATTAAAAAATAATGCCAATAATACCAGCTTCCTGTTTATATGCAATGCACAACGTTATCTGATTTTTTCCCACTTTGCTAATCGTTAATTGAGACGCCGTGTATACGAATATTTTCAACCTGGTAAAATTTGTGTCGGTTTGCATGTGTGTGTATGAGGCGGGCATAATTATGACTTGACTAGTAAATTGTTGCGAATGCGTTGCAGAGAAAGAGATAAGACGGATAAATTATTGCATAATTACACTCGAATTGCGACGTTTTAAAAAATTGCTCCGCCCAACGACCAGGGTGCGCTGTTATTCGTGTTATTTTTTTAATTTCACTTCTCCGCTCCAGGTTTTTATGATTTTTTTCTTGCATTTTTTTGTTGGCTGTTTCGTTCACACTTTATGAAGCGCTATATTCGTTAAGAAAGAAGTATTGTGCTTTTGTTTCTTTTTTTCCTCGGTTGGGTGTGTGTGTTGTTTTTCGCTGTTTCACAGCTTGCAGTGCTTTAATAACTGAATTTCGTATACTTGGTTGTGTGTTGTGACAAAAATAATTTAAGTGTGAATCTAAGCGCGAGGAAAACACGATGAGAAATAAGAAAAATACTTTTTTATTATTAAATTGTTGTGCATGGCTTCTGTTTGCCACGCAAAGGGAAGAAATAAAGCACGACGGCTAGAAAGGAATAAAACAGAAATAGAAACGACAGTGCACAATCACGTACGGCATAGGAGGCGAAAGGAAGAGGGTCGCACGATGGTTATCCTCGGATTCGTGAGGATGAACGGAAAGCAAAAGGAACCCAATTTAATTTAGGAAATTCTTTTAAAAATACAAAAATCCGATTAAAGTCATTTTAACGCTCTCAGTCGTCGAGTGCTCGTTTTGAGCGGGCGAGATTCGTGCTTGTGTCGAAATTGTCCTTCAGATTTTTTCTTTGCGATCCTTTCTATTAACTTGCATCTATTCAGTTTTGCGTTTTTTTTTTGTTAAATTTGTTTTTTCTCCCACAATTCATTATTTTTTATTACTTAAAATAAAAAAAAATCATTGTGCATTAATTTTACATAAGCTAATAAAACACCAACTCTCATCTCGGCTTTTCTCTTTAACTTCTTGCTTTGATGACAATTGCTCTGCTTGGCTTAGAGTTTGCTTCTACTGAAAGGAGAGAATTAGTTCGGATAGCGGCTAGAATACTGCAAACAGCAACCCCTATAATCTTCACCCATATACGACCCACGTTCTGTACCCATGTCTCTTGCATACAATGCGTTTTCTAGCAACACAGAATAATTAACTAGTTTTAAATCATATTCCACCAGGCTTTGTTAATTCCAGCATATAATTTATAATTTATTTATGCTTATAGTCAATTTATTTGCAAAATTGGCATAAATTGATTTGGCCCAAATGAATCATGTTTATGTAGGTACTCTCTGTATGTGATTGTGAGAGAGATTGTAAGGCACAACGAAAAATTGAAAAACGATCCGTAATTTCATCACGTTACCCACAGGCGAAACACATGCCTT